ATCAGTGATTTCAAAGTGAACCGTAAAGTAAAATAAAAGCATCTGTTGAGTTCGTGCCCACCTCTCACACACTTATAACGGTAAGAATAATTCTCAGACAAATTGTCATCTTCATACAGTTACCGTCACCCATTTTCCAAGTGTTAAAAAAGCCCGAACGTCAGTACAGGTGTTAACATTGCAGTTGGATTAGGTGTCTAAATACGTCGAGAGTGCAGGAAATGATCATGATGACATGATCCAAATATTTAAAATCAAACTTGGACTGAATTTAAATAAAACTGTTTAAGAGATTAAGGTATTTTAACCTGTAAATATTAAAGAGTTTTACAAAGAGTTTCCAGCTTTTTAAAGAGAATAAAGCTGACACTCCCCTTCTAAACTATTTCACCAGTTCCAATCTCTGCATCAGTTGGCTGCCATTCCTCTCCCATGTGGAAATAGCAAAGGAGTGATTACTGTGTTTACAGGGAGCGCTCTAAAAATAACGAGATAAGAACAGTAGAAAAAAACATTCCTTAAACCTCCTTAGTTTACAGCACTGTCGCCCAGCACGTTCACTTAAAGACAAACGGTGAGCGTGTGTCACATCTTCGCTGTGCTGTAAAGCAAGAGAGAATAGAGGAATGTGCAAACGAGGACAGCAGATTCCCCTCATGGCTCAAGCCCTCTCACGCCATCAACTGTCTCCCCAAAATATCTGCCTCCACCCCTGGGCGTCAGGCCACCGTCCCTGCTGCCCCGCCCTTGGCCGCTCATATCTGCCCTTGTCCGAGCACACGCACACACGAGTACTAACCAGAGTTCCTGTTTCTGTACTGAGCGTGTACGAGGAGTTGAAGAACTTGACGCTGGTCTTTGGGTCGTCGGGGATCTCCTCCATGTTCTTGAACCACTGGTACTGAGACTTGGGGAAGCCCTCCTCCTCCACACAGCTCAGCTCAGCCGACTTCCCCAAAGGCACCGATTTCGGGACGCTGCACTTTGGCACAACTGGCTTCACTGTGGGGAAACAGAACATACGATGACTGTCGCTGTAGCGACTGTTTGCACAGATGGGCTTTTCTGCTCCGTAAACAAACGGGGAGAAATAAACCAACACAATCGACACGCCGCTGCCGGCTTTATGACTCTGAAGGTTAATGTCACCCTGACCCCGATGTTTGACTGGACTGCCAGGATTGACAGGGAGTGGACGGGAACGTGATTTTCGCTCCATGCCAGAAAACGCCACCAAAACACGCGGCGCTTGCTTTCTTTAGCACTGCAATTCCGAGCAGATGCAGTTTCAGAGGTTTCCTTTTATAACCTAGAACACGCCTTTGCAGCTGGGCAGGTCTGGTCACAACGCATCCTCACATGTATGCCAAAGGGTTGGTGCAACCTATAACACGGTTTCATCTTACAGCATCCGACGTGCGAATCGTTGAGCAAGGTCTGTCCTTTTGAGGGCGCAATAATGACTTGCTTTCTGTGTTTAGAAGCATTTTCTGTCAGTTATCAGTAAGAGAGAGAGTAATCAGTGGCACAGGTTAAAGTACCTCTTACAACCAGGTCAATCAGAATCTCATCAAAGGCCTTTTGGTCTTCTGCAGCAGTGACCTCACATCGATACTTGGCTGTGTCTGATCTCGTGGCGTTGGTTATCAGTAACGTGGCAGGTTCTCTGATCACGGCTCTGTTCTCAAGGTCACCTGCCAGAAGAAAAACACAGCAAAGGTGAATATTTGAAAATATGTAACATATAGAAACTATACACAGACTACTTCATGTATTACCATAGATCTTCTTGTCAAAGTAGACATAGCTTGGCCCCCCGCTTGTTATCTTCTTCCATTCAATTCTGGGATTGATTGTGGAAATAGACTCAATCACACACGATAGCTCAACTTCTGTAAGCAGAGAAACAGGAAGTGATACGAGGACATTAATTCAAGATCGATGACTGGTTTGTAGTTTTTTGAGGGTCGTCAGTCTCGAGCTCTTACTGTCAAACTCATTTGTCCACGGCGAGGCATCATTTGTCTTCAGCACGACTGCCAACACGCTCAGGTAGCCTGCAAAGCAAGATGAAGACGGCAACATAACTCTCCAGACTCACAATACCAGCTGATGCTGGGCTTGTTTTTAACACTCCACTCATCTTAAATTTCACTGACACAATAAAAGGGAACTTAAATGTCAATTCCTACAAAACGGTGATGATCTAAACATAGAGGCGCTATTTGCCCTCGTTCTGTTAATATCTTCCCTTTTTAGTTGTATTGGTTAAACCACTGTGTGTGTGTGGGTGTGCTGTTTCTATGCACAGTGCGGGGAGGCATGTGCCCTTTTCAGGGCAACCTCACCAAACCAGTAGGTCAACAGCTTGCTGAGCCCTCCTCTCTCCCTCTATCCATGCTTCTACCTTCCTCTCTCTCTGAGCCCGATGCTGCCAGTGTTGGACTAAAAGTGCAAACAATGGGCCATGGATGAATCATCTCGACAGCCTTTGGTCAGCAAATTAATTCACACAAAGTCATTTCCATGTCAAAGTTAACTTACCAGCCTGCTCATCAACACTTGCAGGGAGATAAAATGATGGCCTGGCTCATGGATGCAGCGTCACCAATAATCTATTTTGACTAAATTTGTTTATTGAACAAACACTATCGAGATGCAAACATATCTAGTACTCTGGCTCACAGTAAACAGGCTACACAGAGTCCAGACATACAGTTGTGGTTATATACTCTCATAGGCATGAACATCCTGGTAATTTGGGCTTTTAATGATTTCTTTGAATTGTTCTGTTTTCTTCCAGGATGGAATGATTATACAGCTTTAATGGCTTTAAAAAATAAGATTTGGTTGCACAGGTTTGAATTTATTTTGGATTTTCTCAAATATACAGAATGGCCAAAGTATACAGAGGCTCAAATATAGGCCTACATGCCTACTAATATTTTGTTAAATGTCCCTCAGTATGTTGTAGCTTTTTTCTGGCCTAATCCTAGCTGGATATTTGGTCACTCTTCTTTGGCAGAATTGGTAGCACTCATTTAAATTGGTTGGTTTTCTGGTACGGACCTGGCTTTTAAGTGTAGTCCAGGCATTCTGGAAACTTAATGGTATCCATTCCAAAAGCAGTTTTGGGATTACTGTACAGCTGGAAGTCCCAGCTGTCACCAAGTTTCACCGGCACAAAACAGTCCCGAGGTATGATGCACAGTGTTTGAAATCCTCATCTTTATGGAGGATGTGGCTCAGCTCATAGAGTGGGTCATCTACTAGTCGGAAGGGCGGTGGATTGATCGTTATATAAAAGTGCTTATAGATCAAAGTACTGTAAAAATGTGTGTGATTGGCTAAGTATTAGTAGAAAGTGCTTCGAGTGTGCAAACGTACACTGAAAGGTGCAACGTTACAACTTTATTAGACCACTTTTCACAAAAAACACAAATATTTTACAAATCTGTTAAAAACTTGTGGAAAACTAAAAATGACTGCACCAACATGTTTTTCTACACAAATTTGAGCCGTCACGCACGACTTCTCTGATAAGTCTGAAATCAACACAACAATATTTAGACTTACTGCTTGTCTATTACGGCACGGTGAGGAAGCCAAATGCAGCTCCCAGTCTCTCCACCCAATCCCCTGTTTAAAGTATTTTTAAACCCACACCTAAAAGTTGCAGAAAATATTTACAGTTGGTGCAGTCTGTTACTAATTAGTGGTGGAAAGGGTGTTGGGCCTCTCAATCAAAGAAACCTGCTCAAACAGGGATAACGTGACCTCCACCAGCTGTCATCTGGATGCACAGCAGTGTGTAGGGTCACCTGCTAAAGCAGACAGGATAAGCTGATTAGCCCACAGTCTTCCCGGAGATCATAACAAGACGACAGCTTGTTTTTAGCTGCTGACTGTTATAAAACCTTGTCAAAAAAAACGATTGCACCCATGTGTGACAATAAGCTTAATTCTAGGAGTCACGTTTTGTGCACCAGGCTCACACTGAGACTAAATATGGCTATTTTAGCATCGAGTACCATTATAGGCTACTAATTTTGCATAGCCAGGCTACGCTCATCATATGACATTTTACACAAAAACCAGGATGATAACAGACGGTTCTTTAATTAGAAAACGTTTTCAAATACTCCTTCACTCACATATTCACACAAATTCAGCTTCAGGGTGCTGCTTTACAACTTACCCTGACCTCTTGGTGGAAAAATAAAGCAGAAAGGATGTCAAATGCATGCAGACTCACATTCGAAGCTATTTGAAGGAAAATGTTCAGCAGTACAACGGCGCTCTGGACTGTCACAAATATTAAATAAATAAAGAGACATATTTGATTTTTTTGCTTGTGTTACACAGCAACACAGAAGGCAAAGTTTGGTCCCAAGTGGGACAGAGTTGTCTTCACAACACCAAATGAAAAAAAAGTTTCCTACAGCTCCAGAAAGTATGACTGAGAACTTGAACAAAGAGCAGCACAAGAGCAGAATTAGAGTATGCACTTTTTCACAGAAATGTGGTGATCCAGTGAAAGCATGTCGCCTCTTTAACTTGTACTCCACCGCGCTGCGTGCATAAAAAGGCTGTGTGCAGAGCAGAAATGCTTTCCAGCCTCCACAGTTACTGAGAGCTCCTCGTACCCGAGCTCGGCTCTTGGTATTTCATTTGATGAAGAATCACTGAAGGGTAATCTTTGCTTTACATGTGCAGTGCAACGATGACTGAATCCACAGCTTCTTCATTCATGCATGCACTATATTTACTGACAAAAGTTTGTCCACGTGATGGAATGCCACTGCTTAATTCTGGTTTTAAATTTCAACTGCACTGCAAACTGCATAACCTAATACTGAATCCAAGCATGCCAGAGTGGCAAGAGTCTCTGACGACGGTGTGTTGTAATAAAACCAGAAGTTCTTTGTGAATGATTGAAATTAAGTTATTTAGTTCTACGACTTTCCATTAAACACAACATTCAGTTTCATCTACAGTTAGAAAGAGGCAATGAAGTCCCCTCCATTCCCTAAACTCCTCCTTATTTCAGACAGTATTAGTGCAGATTAGGTTCCTAAGTGAGCTTGACGTAGAGATAAAAAGCTTGAGAGGTCTTCTGTGGAAACAGCTGTCCAAGAATGCATATTAAACCCCCACTCAAACAGGCTGGCCTCTAATATAACGTAGGGTAGAGACCCTCCAATAATACAGATGAGCAACCAAACTGCTTCCTATCAGCAAGAACTTCACAGGTTTTGACCCCAGAATAAAATAAAAGCCGAACAGTCCAACAACTGCTTTCTATCCTTTCAGCAAAGACTGCATCTTTCCCGGCTCTGTAACAGCGAGCCACAGCTGGACTGGCTAGCAAAGTATCAGGAACTGCTGACTGGGTGTTATGAGAGCGGTGTTTCCCATCTCTGCTCCAGCCTGTCTGACACATCCTTCCCTGATCATGCCAAACTCATCCTGTCTGTCTTCTGCCATCCCCGAATAGCCTCTCAGGTCTTCTTCTACTCTCCTGCATCAATAAAGCCAGTGATAATTACTTAGTTAGAGGTTCAGGTCATCATCATGAAAATGGGACGCAACTCTTACTCTATGTGTTATAGCTAAGCAGTGCATGACCGGGTCCGAGCGTAAGCTGGCTGTAATGTCAATTCTTAGCTTTTAAACCATGCAGGTGCTCAGTGACCTACATATGCAATTATTTTCTTTTTTGCTTCTTGGTTGGACACAGCTGTGAGAGATCAGGGAATCTGCAAATCTGCATCAAAGTTTTTTTCTTTTAATCTTCCTTGCTGCCTCCATGATGGGTGGAGGGTTTTCTCTATAATCTTGGTGTAAAGCCCTCATAAACCCCACCCCAGGTTTTACATCACTGAATAATACAATAGGCACAGAGGAGTTGGTTATTCCTTGATAAAAAAAAAAACCCCTCCATTCTTTCAGTGGTTTCCCCTGGGACGCCGCGCTTGTTTCCTGTACCGCTGCTCTGTAAATCCGGCGAGATGAGGCCGGTAGCATAAATAGAAAGATTAAATTAGGCAACCGGTGATATTCCCCGTGGAACATCTCTACCTCGTGCCCTTGGAGAATATTCCCACACCCTTTGGAAGCTCAAACATCAAAGTACGCACACCCAGTTTTGCATACTATCAACAGTTGCTGTTTGGAAAGTCTTCACCTGCTTGAGTTGCACTGATCCTCTCAGCCAACTCTGACTGTCTACAAGCAAACGGGACACCCAAGAAGCTTTTAATATTATACGTTATATGGAATCTTTAACAGAAAAGAAGGACCCTCCTCCTCCTTTCACAGCCTGTCACCAACCACTGACTTCTCCAAGGCTGTATGATGAGCATTACTAACATTACTATAGTGTCACACATTTTCTGTTCTGCTTTAAAGACACCAAAGACCAGCTTTACAGCCTTTCCACACAGACGCAGGATGAGCACGTGCATTCGAACACGTGTAGAAGCACAGAATGGTTAAACGAACACACATCAAATGTCGCATAGCTACTGTTACATGAACAACATGACCTACATACCGCTATGTATACCGCTAATAGGTGTTCAGCATCTTGATTCCAATTTAAACATAGGTAAACAAGCTAACCAATGAAGTAAACAACAACATCCCTACTGAAGAGTACGACTGTGCGGTGGTGGAGAAATGAAGCATGTAAGTGACACGAGAACCAAACTCCTGTTCCCACAGTGTCCCCTCACAGCGACACTGCCTTTTAATGTGCAGGCCTTTTGACGTTTTAACCAAATCTTAACACTGTTTACATCTTTGGCAAAGACATGTTTGCCTTTTTTCCCCTTTTTTGTCATGAAACTTTTTTCTTGAATTGGATCAGCACAAATAAACCTTTTTAAAATAATTTCTAAAATTACAGAAATTACTAAAGTAATTTCTGTAATTAATAAAGTCACGCATCAAGTGATGCTCCTTATGGCTCCGTCACGCTAGATTAAAAAGATGACAACTGATCGTTGTCTGGTGATTGCATTGATTTTTATTCATATTTGGTGGCTGATTTCAA